AGAGAGAGAGAGAGAGAGAGAGAGAGAGAGAGAGAGAGAGAGAGAGAGAGAGAGAGAGAGAGATGGATGGATTATATGCCACCAGTTCTCGATCACAGAGCGTCAAAAATGCCCACAAGTGACAAATTACGAATCCTGATACATGGAACAGTTACAAAGAAAAAAGAAAAAAAAGCGATACCTGGATTAGTTAATCCAAATCATTGGGGCATTGTTTCCTACAAATGGGGTCTGGAATCCGATAGCATTGTTACACCTTCGATCCTCAACAGAACCGTGGCTGGTCAGCCAGCCCCGACCTCCCTGCCAACCATGGTAGTTGTCCCATTGGCTCTCGAACACAGTCTCCGCAGAACAGTCCCTGTTTCCCCTGCACCACTGTCGTCTTCTTCTTCACCATCTTCTCCTCTTTCTCCTCGATCTCCCTCCTTCCTTCCTCCTCTTCTTCCTTCTCCTCTTCCTCCTCTTCCTCCTCCTCCTCCTCCTCCTCCTCCTCCTCCTCAACTTCGTCTCCTTCCTCTTCTTCCTCCTTCCCCTTTGCCATCCATGACAATTGATCTCGACTTCCCTCCCCTCTTCTCAGAGCACCACCCCCACTCCCCTCATCCCTCACCTCTTGCCCACCCCCGACCATCAAACATAAATAAACAAAAGCGAAGTGCCTGCTAATGATGCCTCCTGCCCATCGTCGACCTTCACACACCCCTATCCTCTGCCACATAGTTCCTTAATAACCACAGGTCGGTTGGGAAACTGCAAAGGCATCAGGGCAGCAACTGGTTTGTTAGTTAGGCCATATCGGTGGGCAGTCCACGTTGGCGCAGATGTGTTGCCCGTGTTCCATGGAGAGTCGAACAACCTTGTCACCATGTCATTCCCGTAAACGTCTTCTCGCTTCACATTGCTTGAGTGCAATAAAAATCGAGAACTGAAAAAGTCATCCAAAAACAAAACCAAAAAAAAGAGCGAAAGTCTTATCTTCTATCACGGGACCACAGATCAGACCTGCCTTCAACTCATAGAAACTGATCCCAGAGATTCTTTCCCTACTTCACCATCACCGATGCTTTTCTCCTCAATCTTCTCCCTCGTCATTCTTGTTCCTCATACTTCTTCCTCGCACTTCTTCCTCATACTTTTCCTCACACTTTTTCCTCATCTTCTTCGCCGCCTTCTTTGTCATGTTCTCCATTATGTTCTCCATCATGTTCTTCGTTATCTTCTTCGTCAGCTTCTTTGCCATCCACCATCTCTCCTACTACATTTCTCCAGGACAGCGAATTCAAAAGGTCCCCCAGAGCACGCGAATCCTACGCACTACTGTCGCTGGGAGTTCAAGTCCATTTGAAGAGAGTGTTCATGGAAGTTTACCAGACTTGGAGCCATGACTTCCTTTTTCTTCGAAACTACAAAAAGCATGACCTTATGGTCAGCAGTTCAATATCTATTACACACCAGTAGGAACATGAGATATCATTTCAATGCGGAGATACAGAAATGCACAGCATTGACTTCATTTCGTGCATCAGCCTTGCAGAGCGCAAATGTCACACCGCTCAGGTGGAGAGGGAGGGAGGGAGAGAGAGAGAGAGAGAGAGAGAGAGAGAGAGAGAGAGAGAGAGAGAGAGAGAGAGAGAGAGAGAGAGAGAG